GCTGTGCACTGGCCCCTCAGAAGTCCTGAGACTTCTGAGGGAACCATCTACACAGTCATTTCTCATTTTCCAGGCTGAGTCAGCCTGGAAAACGTGAGAGGACTCTAACTCCTTTCCCAACCCCACAAACCATCTATCTATATAATAAAAGTCAGTGCTTGTATGTGGAGTTTAGGCGGGCAGGTGGTGCATGTATGTATGTGGCAGCTTTCTGATTGGCTCCCACTTTCACAGACCACTGCGACCAGCACGGGTGACGAATCTGTATCAAACTTGGCACACATAACTCCCATGGCCCCCTTTACATCCTGGTGAGGTTTGGGGGAGGACAGACAATGGATGATGGGATTTGTAGTACTTTCAAACACTTCGGTTCCCACAGACCACTGTGGCCCCCAACAATGACAGAACAAGACAAAACTTGGCAGACAGAGTCCCCATGACCCAGTCTACATCCTGCTGCAGTTTGGAGGAGGGCGGGCCATGGGAGATGGGACTTGCAGTACTTAAACTCACTTCCTGAGACCACTGTGACCCATGCCAATGACAGATCAGGATCAAACTTGACACACAGAGGCCCAATGATCCACTTTACAACCTGTTGTGGTGTGGGGCAGGATGGACCATGGACTATGGGATTTGCAGTACCTTCACCCTATTCACTTCCCAGAGAACATTGTGGCCCCGACAAATCACAGACCAGGACCAAACTTGGCACACAGAGCACTCATGACCCACTTTATATCCTTGTGCTGTTTGGAGGAGGATGGACCATGGATGATGGGACTCGCAATACCTTCACTAACTTCCTGAGACCACTGCAAACCACATAAATAACTGATAAAGACCAACCTTGGCACACAATGCCTTTCTCAAATAACCCAGGTACCGCTGGGTCCCCAAGCTAGTTTTAAAATAAAAGAACTTACCCGGTTGCCGTTAGTGTGATGGCAGAGCTCTCCTAGCACGTAGGAATGATGCACCAGGAGAAAGGGGGGAGGAAGACAATTGCTCCCCCCCCCCTTCTCCTGGTGTGTCATTCCTATGCACCAGGAGAGCTCCAGCACCATTGCTAATGCCGGACAAGTGAGGTATTTTATTTTTAGAGGGTTTTTTTAACGGGGGAGAGAGGTCTGAGTGCCTCCCTGTTCTCCTGGTAGGTACTGGGATGACAATGACATGTAGACAACAGCCACAGAAAGCGCAGGCTTTTGGGACGGTGTGCAGACTAAAGTCCGCCCTGACCCGGGTTTTTTAAACTCGGGTCAGAGCGAACTTTACCACTGTCTGGAACCAACCTGAGCATTCTGCCATTTGTTTAGATGCGAGCAAAATTACCTAGTCTTGCAGAAGAAACTTGCCTCAATCCCAGAACTCTCCTTTGTTTTAATCAGTGGAATAAAGGCACACTACAAAACGCATTAAAAGAAACTTTCCTCTCACTGTGTGGTATAGGAGCACCCTTGAGAAGCTTCTTCTTCATTCTTCTTCTCACTCACACTCCACTTTTCTTTTGTTAAAGAAAGTATTTCATCCTATGTTTTTGCAGTGGGGAAAATAGTTGGTTCTATATCACTTGGCCTTCTTGTAGTTCTCCTCAGTAGATTGAGTAGATTGAAACCATCAAGCTTCTGTTACATTTCAATAAACTTGTTACATTTTCTTCTGAAGCCTGGTCTCTGTTACAAATCCTTTCCAAGTCAAGTTACACTACACCCTGAAGAAAGACCAATTCAAAATTACTAGCTATTAGCTACGCTATCAATTTAATAAACTCTTACAAAGTGGTGGCATCTTTACAAAACCATTACAAACTGGTGACTTCTTCACAAATTGGTGAAATATTTACAGACTTACCCAAGGTCAACCAGTGAGTTTCACAGCCAAGTAGGGATTTGAAGCCTGGTCTCCAGAGTTGTGGTTCAGCACTCAAATCTCTCCACCACATTGGCTCCAAAGGAAAATGGGGCTGTATTTTGAGTTATTTGTTGCTAATAACGTCAGTTGATTCTTAATAATTTTAGTCCATGGTCAAAATCCGGTGCATATTTTAAGTATCCTTAAACCATTGAATTTAAGTGCATTTAAGTCTGCACTGAAATATAACCAGTGACTTTTACAGCACTTTGTCATCTTTGCATCAACAGTACACTAAGAGACGGCGGCCCCTTCCACACAGCTATATAAAATCCACATTGAACTGGATTATATGGCAGTGTGGACGCAGATAATCCAGTTCAAAGAAGATATTGTGGATTATCTCTCTTGATATTCTAGGTTATAGGGCTGGCTGTGTGGAAAGGCTCTGCGATGCCCTCTTTCCAGGTGAGGAATCAATGGTGAGAGGCAATGATTTAGCCAAGAGCACCCAGTTCTGAGCGAATGGCTCAGATCCAATTCAATAGTTTTTTTCTCTGAAACTTCCACCTTAGTTCTTGTTCATATTCTTTTGATATTAAGGTTCTGGTCTTCTGCCTTATTCAGTACAATCTGGCAGTTTGTCAAAACATGAGTAGAGGCTTACATGTTTGCAATTGTTTTTTTCAAAAAATGCAATGAAATGTCAAACTTCCAGTGATAGCTCAGAAGAACACTGTCATATCTTATAAACTTTCCTTGAGATTTTTATATATTTCTATTTAAAGCTATTGTTAAAGTGAAAGAACAAATAAATCTTTTCTGAGACTCCCTTAATAGCTTCATCCTAATTGCATTAGAAACAGAAATAAAGTTTTCAAATGTCGTATTTTTCATTAGAAAGACACGGAGACATCCATTTATTAAAATGTTTTCTGCATGTGGAGAAGGGAGGGTGGCTTTTGGTGATATTTTTGTTTTCTAGATTTTGTTTTTGTCTGTAGATGTCTTATGTGATGTCTTATGAGGCTACCACGTGGTTACTTCGTTGTTGCCAAACAGTGACAGCCTGACAAAATGCTCAGCCAGCTCAAAGCCAGTCCTGATACCATAAGGAGATAGGTACAGGAAATTGTGTTTCAATAGAACATACAGAAACTCAACCGTATATATACAGAAGAGTCTCGCTTATCCAACCTTTGCTCATCCAAAGTTCTGTATTATCCAACACAGTCGGCCTCCTGCCCAGATTCACAGCTGTTTCAGTACTGCTGTTTTGGTGCTAAATTTGTGAATACAGTAGTTACTACATAATGTTACCATATATTGAACTGCTTTTTCTGTCGATTTGTTGTAAAACATGATGTTTTGGTGCTTAATTTGGAAAATCATAACGTAATTTGACATTTAATAGGCTTTTCCTTAATCCCTTCTAATTATCCAACATTTTTGCTTATCTAACATTATGCTGGCCTGTTTATGTTGGATAAGTGAGACTCTACTGTAAGTAATCCCCTTTAGCCATGGGCAGATGGAAGAACTGGTCTAGATACTGAAGAGAAACCAGGCAGACTCTTAAGGAAGAGAAGTTTCATCCATCCCTCCTCAGCAGACTACTTACATGTGTTTTGTAGGCCTGTTTGATCAAGAAAAAAATTGTTTCTAAAATCGTTTTGTAATTGGGGTGTTTTTTTGTTTCGATATTTAAAATAATTACAAAACTTTCCCAAAAAAAGTTTTGGTATTTACAAAATTTTGTAAATATTAACGAATTTTTAGAATATTTTTTTTATTTTTTAAGAATAATATTAAAAATAATATTAAAAAATAATATTAAAAATAATATTAAAAAATAATATTAAAAATATTTTAAAATGGAAAACGAAACCGCACAGGCCTACTATACAGACATAGCGGGTTTGAGTCAGACCCAGCTAACACCTCCCAACAAAGGATTCCCCTGAGCAGGAAGGAGCCAGACTTTGAAGCTACAAGGCCATTTAATCCCAATCAAGCTGTCCAATGGCAACATTCACACTTGCCTCCAACAGACAAGAGTTCTTTCTCCCACCCTGGACCTTCTACAGCCAGGCTTTGAAGCTGCGAGGCCATTCAATGCTAATCAAGGTGGCCAATGGCAGCATTCACAATTGCCTCCAACAGACAAGGGTTCTTTCTCCCACCCTGGACGTTATTTCCCAGGGATATATAAACCCTACTTGCCTAGTTTCCAACAAACCTCTGAGGATGCCTGCTATAAGATATGAGAGAAACGTCAGGAGAGAATGCTCCTGAATCCTCCTCCATATGCGGCTGCATAGTGAGTGAAGTACTGTATAATAGCGCTGCATCAGGGGCGGCTGAAGCAACTTACGTGCCAAATCCCTGGCTGTGGGCTGCTTGTCTTGCTTGCTCGCTTCTCCAAGCGGGCGAAAGGAGAGGGAGAGAGAAAAACAGTGTGCTGCTGCCTGTCTCTTTAAGGAAGGAGCACATGGAGCCCTCGGCTGCCGGTTTGGCGGAGGGAGGGAGGCAGGCGTGCGCTTGGTTGCTCTGGGTTTAGCTGAGGAGAAAAGCAACCAAGCGCGCGCCTGCCTCCCTCCCTCCGCCAAACCGGCAGCCGAGGGCTCCATGTGCTCCTTCCTTAAAGAGACAGGCAGCAGCACACTGTTTTTCTCTCTCCCTCTCCTTTCGCCCGCTTGGAGAAGCGAGCAAGCAAGCCAAGCAGCCCACAGCCAGGGATTTGGCACGTAAGTTGCTTCAGCCGCCCCTGATGCAGCGCTATTATACAGTACTTCACTCACTATGCAGCCGCATGTGGAGGAGGAGGAGTGTTGGAAAACGGGGAGAGGGGAAAGAGGGCGGGGAGAGCAGCCCAGGCCGAGAAAGAGGGGAATGGCACCAGCACTCCAGCAGCCTCCATCCCATTAACGAAACGAGCGGAAGCTCGTTAAATTTATGGGGGCTGCCGGTTCAATATTTTTAAACCCTTCCAGGTTTGAAAATGTGTTTTGATATCGCTTCAAAAATGCAAAAATAACGAATTAATAACGAAATAACGAAATAACGAACTAAATCGCACAGGCCTAGTGTTTTGAGTTCTAGAATATTTGCATAAACATCTTTTTCCCTTGTTCTTTTCATAGGTGAGCCGCCCACACCCTGGTGATCATTCCCTCATCTTCTTCTTCATGGTTGGTGGAGTGACCATTTCTGAAGTCAGAATGATAAAAGACCTTGTAACTGCACACAAGCCTGGAGTACAGGTATTGGACAATTAAGAATGTTGACAGTTTCTTAGCCCAACCAAAAATGTCTTGGCATTTTGGTTTTTAGGCCTCTTCCTGGGGTTATTTAGGGTGATGATTCAAAAATTGATTTGGATAGATTGCATCAGCTCTAGTTTCTTAGATATGGTTATCATGATTCTTTATGGGTGAGGAGATGGCGACTGGTATATGGTATATGTTCTGTATCTCAAAAATTAGAGCTGATAGGGAGAAACTGGTGCCATTATTGGAATAAACAGGTCAATATACCCAGAAATCGGGCTAACATTTGAGGCACCAAAATGTATGTTGGCCAGTCTTAGGAACATCTCTGCATTTTTGATATAAAACATTCAAGTCTGGTGAAGATGTGATACTAAACTCTTTTGGTGTCACAAAGACTTGATTAAGGTCTTAGAGGAAATGGACCACTCTGCAGAGAGAACAGAAAAAATTAGGGTGTGCAATTTCATAGGAAAATAAATGAAGGAAACTAGGTAGAAACAACTTAATGTTTGGCATTGAATGCCAATTTTTGTTGTAAACTGTCCTGAGTCCCTTTCGGGAGATAGGACAGGATAGAAATGGAGGAGGAGGAGGAGGAGGAGGAGGAGGAGGAGGAGGAGGAGGAGGAGGAGGAGGAGGAGGAGGAGAAGTTGTTGATGATCTAGGAGAGTTGGTGAAAATGTTCAAAACAATATGTGACAAGGTTTGCTGTCCTGCTGTGCTGATGACTGCATATGAAAGAAGCAGGGATAGAGGAAAGATGCAGGCCAAGTAGGAAATGTATTGTCAAAGTCTTTCATGGCTGGAATCACTAGCGTGTTGTGTGGTTTCCTGGCTGTATGGCTGTGTTCTGTCAGCATTTCCTCTGAAGATGCCAGCCACAGATGGAAGGCAAAACATCAGAAGAAAATGCTGCTACAGCCCGGAAAGCACACAACACCTCAAGCAGGAAATGATGATAGCAAATTGAGCTCGGATAAGGAACATGAGGGACTGAAACCAGGATAGATACTAAGAGAAACATTTTGAAAGAAGTCTAGTTGCTAGTCCCCTATTAGAATCTTCAAGTCTGTTTTCAAGCATGGTAATATCATTGCAGAATATTGTCATGGAAGTAAAGGGTGCCTCTCAACAGGAAGAACAAGAAGAACCCTCAAAGAAGGTGCTTTGAATGCTTCTTGGCAGGGGGTTGGACTGGATGGCCCATGAGGTCTCTTCCAACTCTAGGAATCTATTATTCAAGATGCAAACATGATGATTTAATACATTTTGGAGCAAGTAAAGTAATTCACCTTACCATCTAAAATTTGTATGTGTGGGCAGGATCTAAAACAGTGGTTCTAAATTGAATCCCTGAATATTGTTGGGCTACAGGTTTCAGAATCCCTGAAAATTCTCCATGTTGGCTAGAGCTTTTGAGAGCTGTATTTCAACAACATCTGGGGACTCAAATTTGGGGGCCACCATTTTTAATTACCTAAATTTACCACTACTTTCGAATGTCTGAAGTCCTGAACATCAACGCTTATGAAACAATAACGTGAATGAGTGTGAATATTTGGACACACAGTAAGAATGGCTATGAACATCTAAAATGAGAAGGAAGGACCAAAACCTTTGGAATGCATTCATGGTTGTAGCCAGTGGAGAGAACTTTAAACCTTTTGACAAATATAGAAAAATGTCAAGGGGTTCGTAACCTTTTTTCACAAAACCAGTGCCATCAGTAGCAGACTAATTTATCTTTGTATGCTACTACAAGAAAGCACTCACAATGATTTTCTTCAAAGCTTTATCACTCCAGACCGATTTCTTACTTTCCCCAATCCTCAGTACATAAATAACATATTTGTGCTCTACAAATGGAATGCAAACATTTTTGTCATAAATCATACAGACCACATGTTTGATTAGTGAAAATGTCGGAGGGGGAGGTGGTGGCCAAGAAATGCAGAGCCCCCATGGGGCTGGAGAGTATGCCTTCTGTGTGTTAATGGCATTCTTGAGTTAAGAGCTCATTTAATCATTCCTGAGTCTTAAATACCTTCTCTCACGACACGTTTTCATCTGATAACATGTCGTTTTGCATTTAACTTCTCAATTATCTTCTTAGCCTAGTGAATCAGATTCCTTGTGGTCTCAGGCCGGCCTTGAATTTGCAGTCCACTGATGGACAAGTTAATCCAGACTCCAAACGTATTACTATGACTTGAAAGATAAGCAGAGGTTTAATGAGTAAGGAGAGTGAAAACTATGTGGCCAGGCTTTGGGTTTCCTATCTTACAAGGATTGAAGTTTGACAAGGAGTGACACAGGATCTGGTGATGCTTTGCTTGGGCTTGACCCCAACAGGAACTGGGCATCCTTTGAGACAAAGAATTCAGAATGTATTCAGTGGATTTTACTAGCACTTACCCACTCTATAAAGCTATAGCATTTAGAAGCGAAGAGGAACGAAGGTGAATACACACACAGCGGGGGGGGGGGGGGGGGGGAAGAGCAAACCAGTTTCTTTCCTGTATAAGTTTTTGGAACTGACCTGGATTTCTTCACAGTCTTTGAATATTGACCACATGTCGAAGATTACAGAAGGCAACAAAATCAAATTTTTCTAATAATTGGAAATGAGAGTAGCACAGTTTTAATCAATTTTAATGCTGATTTTAAATGTGTATTTTTCCATCATGTTAACTTTTTAAAAATACAATGAATGGTACATTACAGCAGACTACTGTAACATCTGTATATGTTGCAAGACAGACCCATTAAAGCACCAGACCAGTATTAATTAAAGTATAGTTTATTAGTTAACAACCAAAGAAGGAGCCCAAAAAATAACTCAAAAGGCTCAAAACACTTAGTCTTCAGTGTGAAACATAAAATTACCCACAATAGGGCCAAAAAAAAAAAAAAAACAAGATCTGGAAAATAACCCGGATTAAACCGGAATATAACTCAGTTTAAACTTAAAGTTATGCAAACAGCAAGAAAAAGCACTCAAAACAAATGAAGGTTGTCTCAGCACACAAAGGGTCATCACAGCATACAAGAGTTGTCAGAAACACCAAGGTCATCCACTGTGAAGTCAGTCCAAAACGAAGTCGTCGTCCCAAAGAAGCAAGCGTAGTGAATCCAATCCGGGTAGTACAGGGAGAAGTCAGCATACACGAAAATCCAGTCCAGGTCTTACACAAAGCCAAAATGGAGAATGGCAGCTCAGCAGCTAGTGCATAAAGATCAACACAAGGCAGTCCAGAGAAAACCCTCACAGTTCCAGCCCACCAAAGCTGCGGATAATCCGGTTTAAACTTACATCCACAGAAGTCTTCCCAAACACGTCTTCCTAAACACAGCTCCCAGGAACACGCAGACACATTAACACCTTGCCGGCTGCAAGGAGTCCTCATTTCCCAACCCCACTTTTATTTACAATTCTTCCTCAGAGCTGGAACTAGCCAATGCCCTGCCAACGCCCCTTGCAACTGAAGCCCCTTGCCCCAATTCCTCCTCCGAACTGGAATCAGACAATGCCCCACCATTTCTCCTTCCACCTGAAGCCCCTTGCCGATCCCTCCAGTCTCTCCATCTATCCAAACCCATAACTCCCCAAGACTCAACCGGATCCCCAGTGTGCCAGTCCTCTCCTCCAGAGAAACCCACAAACGAATCGCTACTTGTGGGCTCTTCACAGACAGCCTGAACCTCCCATTCTTTAGTCCAATCCATTTCTTCATCCTCTGAACTTGCCATAACACTCTTCTCAGTCTCAGACCCATCATCCCCAGCAAAGCCCTCAAACGATTCATCATCAGAGGGCTCCATAAGTATATCCTGGATCTGCTTCCTTTGTTGCTCCTCATCGGAGTCTTGCTCACGAGTAGTATTTCTTCCCCTCCTAACATTTGTACTCCCAGTAGTATCAGTACTCATAGGCTCTATCACAACAGTATATTTCACATCATATTCATGTAACACAAACCAACAAGTATTTTTCATCAGATATAATTTTAGGTCATTCTTACAGAGTTTTTTGTGCAAAATACAGATCTGTGTTTATTTTTTCTCTCTATCACATGTAGTTTTTGCGATGAAGCTAATCAAATAATTAGCTTCTATAAATAATTCAAATAATTAGATTCTATTGATACTGATATCAATAGAATCTAATTAACCACCAGCCAACAAGTATTTTTCATCAGATATAATTTTAAATCATTCTTTTATAGAGTGTTTCGTGCTAAATTTGGATCTGTGTTTATTTTTTCTCTATCACGTCTAGTTTTTGTGATGAGGCTAATCAAATAATTATTGCATTTATGCACTGATATCAATAGATTCTAATTAACTACAAGTCAACAAGAGTTTTTCATCAGATATAATTTTAGGTAATTTTTATGGAGTTTTTTGCGCCGAATTCAGATCTGTGCTTATTTTTTCTCTATCACATGTAGTTTTTGTGATGAGGCTAATTGAATAATCAATGCATTTATGCATGGATATCAATTAGATTCTATTGATATCAGTGCGTAAATCCATTCATTATTCAATTGGCCTAATCAATAGAGAAAAAATAAAGACAGATCGAATTCAGCGCAAAAAACGCTATAAGAATGACCTAAAATAATATCTGATGAAAAATACTTGTTGGCTTGTGTTATGTTTTTCAAGAGTCTGGCATTCTTAGAACTTGTTTATCCAAAACTTCTATCAGTCACTTTTAAATGTTAGGCAAGGTAAAAACACAGTATTAGCATACCTGTCCATCTCTAGGCAATGCCTTAGAGAGCACAGTTAATGCTGATGTTACTTTTAAATAGGAATTGGATTAGATCTTTAAACACTAAAAGTGTTTTTGGCAACAGTTGATGGGTCTGTCACCAGATGCTGGTTCCTCCCAAGACTTACTTGGTATACAAACAAATGACAAAGAAGTGAAGATGTGAAAAATATATGGTTCACTTCACATGACATTATCAAATAAAGAGGTGATGCAAATTATATAAACAGAACTTTATTTTGGACATTCTTGAGTGCCTAGAAATATATGAGATAAGCACAAGGCCATCCTGCAAAAGTATGACAATGATTATGAACTAGAACTAGCTGAAACTAGAATGAGTAACTAGAAAAAATAAATGGACAAAAAGCTTGCATTAAGACTGCCATGGAGCCCCTGATGGCGCAGTGGATTAAAGCGCTGAGTTGCTGAGCTTGTTGACCAAAAGGTCGCAGGTTCGAATCCGGGGAGCAGCATGAGCTTCCGCTGTCAGCCCCAGCTTCAGCCAACCTAGCAGTTCGAAAACATGAAAATTTGAGTAAATCGATAGGTACCGCTCTGGTGGGAAGGTAATGGCACTCCATGCAGTCATGCTGGCCACATGACCTTGGAGGTGTCTACGGACAACGCTGGCTCTTCAGCTTAGAAATGGAGATGAGCACCAACCCCAGAGTCGGACCCGACTGGACTTACTGTCAGGGGAAAACCTTTACCTTTACCCTTCCTTTAGCTGAGCGCCTCTTATAGAATAAGAGACACAATTTGCCCCCTTGCCTTGGAACAAGTGAGTGTGTAGTGTGCAGGTCCAGAAAGCACACATGCCTGCCTTCAGCCAAGCGCCTCTTCTAGAATAAGAAACAGAACTTGCCCCCTTGACTTGGAAAGTGTGTGTGTGTGGCATGTAGGCCCAGAAAGCATACTCGCCTGCCTGCAGCCGAATGCCTCCTCTAAAGTAAGAAACAGAACTTGCCCCCTTACCTTGGAAAGGGTGTGTATGTGGCGTGCAGGTCCAGAAAGCACACACACCTGCTTGCCGCTGAGTACCTCTCCTCTAGAGTAGAGAAACAGGTAGGAAGCCTCTTTAAAGACTCTGTTTGCTTGTAGCTGAACGTCTTTAGAGTAGAAACAGCATAAATGCCTATAATAGGAAGGGGAGCCTAGGAACCCTCTCCCCAAAAAATGGGCTAATAGAAAACAGACCTTTTGACATTCCAGAGTGAAAATAGATATCTACCCTCCCAATTTCAGGACTCTCCCAAAAAACAGATCGAGGCCCGCACTGAAAGCTGGGACATGAAACAGGTCATGGTTTACCTGGATTGCACAAGCCTAGTAACCATTTTAGGTTTTGCACATTACCATGCTATTTCTTTCATTGCTGTGAAGACAGAAAACATTAAAATGGCTTTTCCTTCAAAGTATGAGAAGATCTTTGATATGTTGATTTGTTTCTCGCTTTATATGAGAAGTTCTCAAGGTGGGGCATAGACAAGACGAAATTGTGTTGAAACAATATAACACTAATAATTTAAAACAATTCAGAAGGTTGAAATGATTTTAAATTATTTGCACCGAAGACTGTACGTAAGATTTACTTAAGTATTTCAAAAGCATCGCCTTTATAAAACATACTCTCAATATCCAAAGGCTATTGTTTAATTCCACAGTTCCCAAATTGTGTTGGGACAAATATAAAATTTGAGGGGGGAAATGGAAAATGTTTCTTGACCCTTGAGGACCACAGAAATTTTGACACCCCCCCCCCCCAGCTTAGAAGAACAGTGAGGAACCCATAAAATTCAATGGTTATAATATCATAAATGCAATTAAAAACATAACATATAATAAAATTAAACATATCAATAAAATATAAATTCATAGTGTCTCCTTGTTAAAAACGTTGTCCGGTCTCATTGTCGTTGTTCCATTTTCCTATGTCAGTTGCTCTGCATTTGGAAACACTTGTCCAAAAAGCCACGTCTTGACTTTTTTCCGGAATGTTGAAAGGGAGGTGGCTGATCTAATATCTATAGGGAGGGCATTCCACAGCCAAGAGGCCACCGTCGAGAAGGCTCTGTCTCTCGTCTCCACCAAACGTACTTGTGACGAAGGCGGTAATGAGAGCAGAGTCTCCCCAGATGATCTTAAGGTCTTAGAATGTTCATAAGGGGAGATGCGTTCAGACATGTAACATCTCTCATAATTCCCAAACTGACTGAGACTGATATTGATTAAAGACCAATAATATTTGGAAAGTCATCCTTCCTTCGGTCTTATCCTAGATTTCCCTGTTTATGTATGAATTGCAGTTTTGCCAATGATTTCAATGCCACAGAAAATATTGAATTTGTGTTCTACTAAACAGATGGCAGAGGGAAAGTGGATTCCATTTTTCAAACATACACAAACAGTCAATTCTCCTTAAACAAAAAAGGGCAAATATCCTGACTCAGTTGGAGAACCCATTTGCAGTCCCTTAATGGCAATTTATCAATTATTTAATGACAAATAACTTAAACCTACACAAAAAATCACAGCCTATGTGTAGTGGAGATGAATGATTCAGGCTAGAAGTAGGGTATAATACTGATGATTACAACACTTGCAATGGTAGCTGGCTTACCTGTAATTATGTGCTGAGCCCATAACAGCTGTAGCTAAGCTCTCCTGGCCCACAAAACATACCTCCTTTGTCATTAAGTGTGCCTGACACTTTGCAATCTCTGTTGGGGGCAGATGAAGGGGATTAGTTTCTTTTACAGCGTGTGCAGGTACTTTTCTTTTCTTTTCTCATCCAGGTAATTGTGCTCTCCACAACTCTCCTGACGCCACGTAACGTTCTGGAGTTGCTGTTTGCCACAGACCGTCTCCAACCAGATATTGGGATCTGACGAACAGAGTATCTGTCAAAGAAGATGATTGTCTGTCCACACCCATTCCCCAGCGTCACACACTTGCAGAATACATCAAACTTGTTCCTTTCTGTCCCTTTAGATATTTTTACAAAAATGAAAGCCTTGCAAATTACCCACGACCTTGATTTTGACATTACGGAAATTGATATGATAGCTGTCTGCAAAGTAGCTACACAAGGAGAGCACTTGGTAATCCGTTCATTTCTTTAGTGGCATCAATCTGACATTCAGATCGTCTTTAAGCAGTAATGTTGCATTGAGCTGAAATCCTTTCTTTCCTGCTGGCTGACTTAGGCCCCTTAAACATAGCTAAATAAAAATCCCGCATTATCTGCTTTGACCTGGGATATATGGAAGTGTGTGTTGCGCAGCAAACGGATCTTAGTCACGCACCATGCACAAGACTCACAGACAAGAGTAGTGATGAACAAAAAATCTTTACTCTTAATAGTAAAGATGAAATACAAACTTGCAATGTTGCATATAACAAATAAACAGCGCAAGAAACTTACGTAGTTTTTGTAAGTAACACAAAACAAGGCATCTTCATCTTAAGTCAAATGAGAAAGCAAAACATAAACTTTGAGCAAACAACTACTCCATCATAGCCTCCTTTAGAGCATCATAACGGCTTCTCTCCAACCTGCTTCTCAGAGCAGAGCCTTTGAGCATAGATCTCCTCAGAGAAAAAGCTCTCCAGAACTGTATTCTAAAAACCCATACAGTTATACCCTATCGAGTGTGGTCCAAGATTACTGGTTGACCTACATTACCAGCTGCACATAATAATAATTACCATCATAAGGTTTTTCTTCAACACACACACACACACAAGGTCCTGCTACAACTTACTCTAACAGTGTGGACCCAGATAACCCAGTTCAAAGCAGATATTGTGGGATTTTCCACCTTGATATTCTGGGTTTTATGCCTGTGTAGAAGGACCCATAGGTTACTCTTGTTGGCTGCTATATAGGATGGAAACTTTCATAGGAACATTGCAGAACAATTACAGAAAGCTACAGCAACTTGCATTTTTAAGTGAGCTTTTATCCAGTTTTTGGTAGCACATGCTTTTTAGGCCCTTTCTACACTGCCATATAAAACCCAGGTTATCTGCTTTAAACTGAGTCAGTGTGGACTCAGATAATCCAGTTCAAAGCAGATCATGTTACTTATCTGCTTTGATCATCTGTATTATATGACAGTGTAGAAGGGACCTTAGTTGGCTTGAACAAGCCATCAGGAAAAAAAAATACCAAGTCTACCAAAGCACCAAATGGCAAATATATTATTAAATGCATATGTCCTTGATGAAACATATATCTTCAAAATCTTATTATTTGGTATATATTGCTTCAAATATTGGGTAGATTTTCTGGTGGTAGCCCAACCCCAGCCAACAGGCATAAAATGAAAGGGGCTGGCAATTGTTTTCTAACAATTCTCCATCTCCTATTAATCCATTGCAAAGTCACGCTCCCAACTGGTGCTCTGTAAGTGGTGCCTCATCTACACTGCCATATAAAATCCAGATTACCATCTTTGAACTGGATTATATGGCAGTGTAGACTCATATAATCAAGTTCAAAGCAGATAATGTGGATTATCTGATAATCTGGATAATAATAATAATAATAATAATAATAATAATAATAATAATAATAAACCCTTATTTGTATTCTGCTCTATCTCCCCAAGGGGACCTGGGGCGGTTTCCAGCATGGTAAAACATTGCAAATTACATACAAAAAATTATAAAAAGTATAAACATAGTACTACATAACAATCACACATATTAAAAATTAAAAACCAGTTCAGAACTAATTAAATTGGGCAGCTCAGCTTCCAAATGCCAAGACTCCAAAGTGGGTGTTGCCAACAATGAAAGGGCTGGGCTAGTACAACAAAGTAGACTAGGGGCCGGGGAGTGGGTAAAGTGCAAGCATGGCCTACCTGATGGTCAGTGTGGGACCTGGAGCTATTTATTTCCAAGGCCTGCTGAATAACCACAAGAGGGCTGAGCCAGTAGGGAAAACATAGGGCTGGGGACGTGGGTAAAGTGCATAGCAAGACCCTAACTAATGATGCCTGGGACTCCTCATTTCCAGGTCTGCTGAATAGCTACAATAGGGCTAGACCAGGGCTAGTAGCAAAGGACCAGGGAAGTGTGTAGAGTGCATCATACAGCAGTGTAGAAGGGGCCTCAGAAGATGAAAGTGTGACTTTTGATGGATAACTAGGCATTGCAAAATTATCCCAGTATGGTTGATTTGATGAGAATTGGATGGCCAAGTATCAAAATGAAGGTGTGAGATTCCTTTAGAGCAGTGGTTCTCAACCTGTGGGTCTCCAGGTGTTTTGGCCTACAACTCCCAGAACTCCCAGCCAGTTTACCAGCTGTTAGGATTTCTGGGAGTTGAAGGCCAAAACATCTGGGACCCACAGGTTGCTTTAGAAGTATCAGAAATAAACTCTCCCAGGGGCTGGTTACTGGGCCCCTAGTTGATCTGTTCAGTAAAATTGAGTGATGTAGCTACTCCTGGTCCTTAGCATTTCAAAACAAATACTTCGTACTTAGAAAACGTATGTCAGACAAAGAAGGTTCAGTCTAGCAGCCCTGATGTGCTGATTTTCTGTCTGAAGGGAGCCCCCCTTTCCTAGTCCATTGAATATTATGGCCTTAGAGCTTTACTCATCCCAAAAGTACAGAACAGTATGTTAATTGTCTCTTGCCACCAAAGGTGAACCACCTTTGAGTACACCAGGGACATTCCAGATAATGGTCACAAATGGGAGTGTTACTGGGTTATGTGTTGTTGAAGGCTTTCGTGGCTAGAATCCCTGGGTTGCTGTGAGTTTTTCTGGGCTGTATGGCCATGTTCCAGAAGTATTCTCTCCTGATGTTTCACCCAGATCTATGGCAGGCATCCTCAGAGGTTAGGTCTGTTGGAAATTAGGCAACATTCCACAGATATATAAACCCCACTTGCCTAATTTCCAACAGACCTAACAACCTCTGAGGATGCCTGTCATAGATGTGGGTAAAGTGTCAGGAGAGAATACTTCTGGAACATGGCCATACAGCCCGGAAAACTCACAGCAACCTTTTACTGGGTGGGCTGAGGGTTTACTCAATGTAATATAAATGTGTTTTTATTTTGCATTTCTTTCTTTCCATTTATATAAGGAGCAGAATGTAATTGCGGAAGATGTAATGCCAAATTGTTTCCTTAGTTTCTGAATAGCAGTGGTAAACAGCTATTTTAGAAAACACGACATAGGCCAGCCTTAAAAAAAATGGCATTTTATGTAGTTTATTTCTGCACTGTACATTTGATTTTACTTCAAGCAGGTAGCATTTTTTTTGTTGATGTTCAATTGAAGAATACAGCTAGACGCTTGCCTTTATCAGCCTAACCCATTCCAGTAGCTTTTTTTTTACGAAGTCCATTAATAGATGTGGTCTATCCAACCTAACAGGTGCAGGATGTCCTTTTGAAAGGCTTTTCATTGTGTGGCCATCTAAATTTGGCTGTAATGTGACACTTTAGCTAACGAAAAAGAACAAAGGTGTACTTTGGAAACATTACTCAGAAAGAGAGGCACCTTTGTGTGTTTACCCATGGCAATATTCATTGGATGTGCTGTCAGTGCACCACGTATGATAGATGGATGACAAATCAGCCAAAGCTATTTATCTAAACTGCTTAGGGAGGAAAAGCAAAAGGTAGCAGTTTCCATGGTTACCACTCCATTTCTTCCACATTGTGTTAATAGAATCTATTTTGAGTATGTTTTTTCAAGCAAGGAATCGTGCATAGCACACAAACCATGCCCGTCGCTGATGTCCTTTTGTCAAATGGTGGTGGGTTGCCTTAGATGAACTGATCTTCTGTAAGGGTGTGATGTGTTCATAGTTTGGCATCACTCCACTATGGAAGTTTTGAAGCAGATGGAGTTAATCTACTCCTTAAAAAGGTACTTCTTTACAGTGCTTAGGTTTGACACAACTTGAAGTGGCAAAATAGAAGAGTCCCGATTCACAAAGCCATGGTATATTGCATGCCCGCAAGATACTGCACCATGCACAACTCATGCAAAACTTCCAAAGGAACTATTACCTTACATTAATCATCCTCAAAAAGCTAGAAATACAGATGTGTCCTAATTTTATTCTTTGGCTGACAGCTGTCTCACTGTGGCATAGCAAAAAGAGCCCTTCCACACAGCCATATAATCCAGAATATCAAGGCAGAAAATCCCACAATTTCTGCTTTGAACTGGGTTATCTGAGTCCACACTGCCATACATTCCAATTCAATGCAGATATTGTGGATTTTCTGCCTTGATATGGGATATAGCACTGTTTGGAGGGGCCTTAAAATGGGAGATATCCCCTCTTGTTACTAAGAGCAACTCAATGATGGTGTAGTATAAGGTTGAGCAAAATGTGTCCTCCAGATGTTGGTCTGCGTTCATCACCATTGGTTATTCTGGCTGATATGTTTATCTTTATGTATTTATTTATAGTATTTATATTCCTCCCTTCTCACCCCGCAGGGGACTCGGGGCGGATCACAATGCACATATACATGGCAAACATTCAATGCCATAGACACACAACATATATAGACAGACACACAGAGACTATTTAATTTCCCAGCTTCATGAGGGTATGCTTCAAATTCCGGCCACTGGGACAGCTGTTGCTTCTCCATCAACTTGCGACACCGATGGAGTACTGCCTCATTCTTTTGCACACTGCTGGAGATTTTTTAATGGCATTGTAAATTAGTTAAATTAGCCTCCCCGCATAAAGCAGTACCTAAATTTCCTACTTGACAGATGCAACTGGCTTTTAGGCTGCAAAGGTCGACAGCATGCTAGACAAATGGTCATGAGCTTACTCCTACCCAGGCTGGCTTCGAACTCATGACCTTTGGTCAGTAGTGATTTTAATACAGCTGACTCCCAACCAGCTGCGCCACAACCCAGTCCTATGTTGCAATGCTTGGGGGGCCTCATTTTGCTCACCACTGCTCAAATACCTCCAACAATAACCATTTTTTTAGAGCAGAACAAAGAAACCACGGCTACATTTTGTAGTATAGAATCTCCAAAGTTATGGGTATGATTTCACAGAAGGCAAGTGGAGAGGGAGGACAAGTGAGAAGCAACTGGTTTTGCACAAGAGTTCCTACAGCTGTTGCATCCTGGAAGAGGCGAGAACTGATCATCTATACTTATGCTATTCCAGTCAGTGACACCGCATCCTTTTTATATAGTCAGTGGTTCCCAACCTTTGGTCCTCGAGGTGTTTTGGACTTCAACTCCCATGATTCCTAACAGCTGGCAAGCTGGCTGAGATTTCTGGAAGCTGAAGTCCAAAACATCTGGAGGACCAAAGGTATGGGAACCACTACTTTAGATAATTTTCATGCCTTTCGGCTGTGTGGACTTTACTATTGCCATTCAACTCGAGCAACTGTAGATGAAAACACAGCAATCAAATGAGAAAACATTGTTTAATTATGAAACAAAATTTAGAGGTTGTGTTCTATGCAAGTTGCTATCAGTAAAAAAAATAAATTACAGCATAAAGAAAGAACATTTTGTATTTTTTTTCCTCTTTTTTTAAAAGTGCACTGGGGGAGTTGGGTCAGGCTAATAGCCCTCAGTCCAAATCCTGCTGGCTCTGTGTGACAAGCCCAATGATTGTTTTTATACAACCAACATGACTGCAAATGACAGACTTATGCATCAGTGGGATGTTCTTCATGCACTCACTAAAGGCATGACTCAAGTAAATAACAGCTTCATAGACAATAGTGAAAGAACAAAGAGAGGGAGAAAGCGAAATCATTCTAGATTGAAAGGTAAACGAAGTTATGTCCATGGCCAGAGCACTGAAGTAGCATTTCACAATTATTGTGATCAATCCAAAGCAAATTCAAAGATCAACCTGAAAGTCAAGTCAACACAGCATCAGATGGGCAATCTTTGAAACTTGATCATGACACTACTGTAAGAGTAAACTTTATCTGTAAAAATGAACACCAAACAGGATTTTTTTGGTACAAAATGTCTCATTATATAATCAAAAGTACAATCACTTACTAATGCCCAGTAGATTTTACTCTGATGGGTCTTGTTTTGCTGAATCAGTGAGACATATGCCCCTAAATGACATAATATAAGGCTCAAAGGAGCCTTAAATTCAATGCAAAAGGTATTTGCAACTGATGTAAACACAAGTGGTTCCCCATTAGAAAGGTCCCATTCTAAATTGTCTCTGCCCTGTCCTCCACCCTCATTGAAGTGATAGGATAGAACAGATATCAACATGACGCAAGCTCCACTACAAAACAGGAAAGTATTGTCAGTTTGTTCAATCAGTGTTCCATTTTCAGCATGGAAGTACACCTTTGACCACTTCTTCACGACCTTCTTAAAACATCAGTGTTGCTTCTCCACTACACAATGTCCACACCTGTTTAAACAACATGTGAGCTCTCTTCGCTGTCCCTTGTTCCTCCTCGGAGGCTGCAATTCACGTTCCAAAGTTGGAACGCCATGATCATGTACTTGGGAAAGAGTTTGAGCTGTCACACTGACGTAACAGTCCTCACTTTGGCGGACAAGGCTTGCTTAAACCTCCTCTTGAGATCCTGCATGTTGGGCGATTTTGGTCTTGGGATGAGGGAGCTTCTTCTTTTCTCGGGTGTGCTGGTGGTTTGTTGCTTGCAGACATCTTTGCACAGGCTGTGAAAGGCATTGAAGACCTCCTTATAGTTCTCACTGACTGACACCTCATAGAAAGTACAACCCAGCATGCTAGCCATCTGAAGTCCGTGTTGGGGTTCAACCTGCTTAATATGGAGGAGGTCTGCTTTGTTGGCTACCACCACAACAGGCACTTTGTTTCCAGGGTGCAAGTGGCGTATGTGCTGGTGGAAGTGACCGAGCAGTTCGTAACTCTTATAGTCTGTGATCGAAAACACTATCACAATGGCATCTGCCCAGCGAATGCACCTGTTCAGCTGCTCATTGCATTCCAGGCTGTGTCCATGGATCTGAAATAAGAGTGAGACAATGGGAATATTATCTAGTTGCAAAGGAAGAACTGAAAGCAACTACATTTCAGGTTACAGTCTTTACGGGATGTCAATGTGTGAGATAACATTAATATTGCATACTCTCCAAATATTGAGTTCATCTTCCTTCATAAAACTGATTTATCTAGTTGCAAAGAGGAAGGGAGGGAAAGAAGGAAGGAAAGAAAAGGAAGGAAGGAAGGAAGGAAGGAAGGAAGGAAGGAAGGAAGGAAGGAAGGAAGGAGGAAGGAAGGAAGGAAGGAGCGAGCAAAAAAAGGAGGGAAAAAAGGAGAGAAAGAGAGAGGGAAGATTGGCCACAACAACGCGTGGCGGGTAAAGCTAGTAAATAAATAAAATAAATTATGAGCAAGAAGAAGAAGAAGAAAAGAAGAAAGAAGGAGGAGGAAGAAGGGAAGGAAAGAAAGGAAGGGAGGAAAGGAGGAAGGAAGGAGGAAGAAGGAGAGAAGGAAGGGAAGGGAAAGGGAAAGGAGGAAGGAAAAAGGAAGGAAGGAAGGAAGGAAGGAAGGAAGGAAGGAAGGAAGGAAGGAAGGAAGAAGGAAAGAAAGAAAGAAGGAGAAAGAAAAAGAAGGAAGGAAGGAATGAAAGAAAGGAGGAAAGAAGGAAGGAAAAGAAGGAAAGAAAAATTATTCCAAAGTTTTCCACATATTCAAGTGGAAAATTGACCCCTGTTGTACTGTATATAGAGAGGAAAGATTTTGTCGTGCCACAGAATGGGAAATTAACTGGCTAGACAGCAAGGCGGGAGTGGAGCGAGGAAAGAACAAAGGTATGAGCTGGAAACACTAAAGTTGGAGAGTTGCCCAGTTCAAAAAGGCAAAATTTGACCTTACTCATGTCTATACATTCAAACTTTCCACAGTATAAGATCAACTCTTAACAAATTTTAATGAGCCCAGCTGCTGGGACTGAGGGTTTTTTGTTTCTCTGGTGTGTGTTTATGAAACTAAAGCTGATTAGGCGACAGCAATAAAATTTCTTTCCAGATTTCCAGCACACTTTGCTAGCACAGTAAAAACGAAGTGCTCCTTAGTTTGCCAATGAACTGCTCTTAACACATTAGCAACCGTTCCATTTAAGAACAGCAGCTTTCCTCAACAAGATGGCTGTGTTCGAGTGGACAAAAGTTCAGTTGAAATTGTGGCTTGTTTTCTTTTCCTGTCAAGGGACTATATACAGATCATTTGTCAAGCATGGACTGTTTACAGCACAAGTTACCAGCAACAAAAGCCTTTTCAGTACAGCCAGAAAAACTCCAGTGTCTAAAGCTGGAGTTGCTCTAAATGAACAGGCAAAATACTGAGTTTGTTTAACGGTATCAACATTGAGGTGTCCGTTGAAGGCTTTCATGGCCGGAATAACTGGGTTGTTGTAGGTTTTTTCAGGCTATATGGCCATGTTCTAGAGGCATTCTCTCCTGACGTTTCGCCTGCATCTATGGCAAGCATCCTCAGAGGTAGTGAGGTCTCACTACCTCTGAGGATGCTTGCCATAGATGCAGGCGAAATGTCAGAAGAGAATGCCTCTAGAAAATGGCCATATAGCCCAAAAAAACCTACAACAACCCACTGAGGTGTCCTTTTAAACGGGCAAAAACAAGTAGGCAAAAATGCCAACTCACCTGTACTCCAGGAGTATCTTGGACTTGAATTGCAAACAGCTCTCCATCAATTTCAATCTGTCTGCTGTACAAATTACCTAGGAATAAAAATGTATTTGATCACAACTGAGTTCACAGACATGACATATACATACATATATACATACATACACAAAAGAATGCCGCATTTTGATGCAATTTGTTTCTATGTTTTCTCGTTGGCATTGAATGTTTGCCATATATGGTGGAAACGGCCCTAAGTCCCTTCCGGGAGATAAATTATTATTATTATTATTAATTATTATTATTATTATTATTATTATTATTATATTTTTAAGTAAATTGCTTCACTTTTGCTAGGACATGTCTACACTTTCTCTTAACAGGGCAGGGCTTGGTACAGCAATAAATCTTATTCTATGTTGTTCAGGTAGGAAACACATTGCCATCAACTGGGAATGCATTACATACATTATATTTCCATCATTGGAAATAAGTGGCAACACAATCCTATGTACTTACTGCAAAGCCAGAACTGGCAGCCTGGGTGAATTGTTATGACAGGCAAGCAGAATGACTAATATGTGGAGGTAAGCCTCAAAGCATCAATATATAAAATGAATAGGCACACACAGAATAGATACTTACTGATACATATAATTTGATTCAAAATACAGTGAGCTGGTACTGCCAGGAGTTTTCATCTAAGCTTGTTTGTAAGTTCTACCTTTCTAAGCAAAGTCACAGCTAATGCTAAGGACAAGATAATGTAGTATCCTGAGTCAATTTTACAGGTCACCTGCCAAAAAGTGAAGCATATTCCATAGTTGAAAAGTTTTTTAGGTACTTGCTTTACTCTGTGATAAAGTTATATTATGTGATTATGTCTTTGGGGGGTTAAGTTTTATTTCCTGGTTAATTTTTGTCTGTTATTAAGCTTACAGTTAGGCTGTTTTCTATTGTTTGATGTGTTCTGTTTTGATGTAATTTGTTTATCTGTTTTCTCGTTGGCATTGAATGTTTGCCATATATGTTGGAAACCACCCTAAGTCCATTCGGGGAGATTTATTATTATTATTACTATTATTATTATTATTATTATTATTATTAAACACAACAAGATGAGTCCACAGCAGACAAGATCACTCTGCTGGCTGTTGTATTGGATCACACGTCGGACACTTCCCAAGTGTCTAGGACTGTGTGATGTATCGGCGATATAATGCGTGCAGATCCCAGTAAGGTGGCCTTCTGCAGCTGGCAGATGGTAATTTTGTCAGCGCCGATTGTGTTTAAGTGCAGGCCAAGGTCTTTAGGCACTGCATCCAGTGTGCCGATCACCACTGGGACCACCTTGACTGGCTTGTGCCAGAGTCTTTGCAGTTCGATTATTATTATTATTATTATTATTATTATTATTATTATTATTATACACAACAAGATGAGTCCACAGCAAACAAGATCACTCTGCTGGCTGTTGTATTGGATCACACGTCGGACACTTCCCAAGTGTCTAGGACTGTGTAATGTATCGGCAAATAATGCGTGCAGATCCCAGTAAGGTGGTCTTTTGCAGCGCCGATTGTGTTTAAGTGCAAGGCCAAGGTCTTTAGGCACTGCACCCAGTGTGCTGATCACCACTGGGACCACCTTTACTGGCTTGTGCCATTATTATTATTATTATTATTATTATTATTATTATATTTTGAAATAAAATGCTTCACTTTTGCTAAGACACGTCTACACTTTCTCTTAACAGGGCAGGACTTAGTACAGCAATAACGTATTTCCCCTCAAATTAAATTCTTCAACTGGCATTATTATTTTCTATTTCATATATAGGACTTCCGCCTGCCAAGAATGGTGGCATCACGTGTTACCATGCTATACTAGAAATAGAAAAGCTTGCATAACTGATTCTGGATTCATTCTCTTCCATCTTCCCATTAATATTAACAACTCATATTTTATACAAATGCTCTCACTATAAATAGACTACTTTCTCCCCTTCCACTGTGGGCAAGCAGATTCAGAGCACATGAACCAACATCTGTAGGCTTGCCTTTGTACAGAAAAGTGACAATACTTTTGAAAAAAAGTGTACCAGGTAAGAGGATGTATCTTGAATTAAAACAAAAAGTGGCTTTTATTGACTTTGGCTGGATCTACACTGCCCTATATCCCAGGATCTGATCCCAGATAATCTACTTTGAACTGTATTATATGAGTCTACATTGCCAGATAATCTGGGATAAGAAAATAATCTAAAATTAGATCCTGAGATATAGGCCAGTGCAGATCTAGCCTTCATCATAAATATGTAGTTTCTCAAGTTGCTCCTGACACGACAAAAAAAACATAAATATTTGTTCTATGGTTATGTATAATCAGGTTTATGGTCATTCAAACTACAGGAAAGGAGAGTCCACCTGAACATTAGGAAGAACTTCCTAACTGTGAGAGCTGTGGAACTCTCTGCCCCAGAATGTGGTGGAGGCTCCTTCTTTGGAGGCTTTTAAGCAGAGGCTGGATGGCCATCTGTTGGGGTTGCTTTGAATGCGATTTTTCTGCTTTTTGGCAGGGGGTTGGACTAGATGGCCCATGACGTCTCTTCCAATTCAATGATTCTAGGTGTGGGTTAGAACTCACTCACACACACCTCAAATCAAAACTGAATTTGCCAGAAATCCATTTTCAGATTTATTCTAAAACATTAGGTGTGTATGTGTGTGCTGCGTATTGTCTTAAGGCAAAGTTCTCCCACCATGAACCTTCCAGGAGCTTGAGATCATCTGAGGAGGCCCTGCTCTCAATCCTGCCTGCTTCACAAGCATGTTTGGTGGGGACGAGAGACAGGGCCTTTTCTGTGGAGGCCCCTCAGCTGTGGAACTCCCTACCTAGGGATATTAAATCAGCCTCCCTCCCTCCTGACCTTTCGAAAAAGAGTGAAAACCTGGCTCTTTGAGCATTTGGAACCACAACTTGACCAAAAAACTCAAATTGGAAAATGAACTAGGAACGGCTAAGTCGATGGAATGGTTGAGGATTTTAACAAGAAGACATCGTTTTTTATTATTATTTTGGTTATTCATTGTTTTAATCGTTTTAAATGCATTGTGATGCTTTTTGCTTTTTACTGATGTACGTCTTTTATATATGGCATCTAATTGTTGCCGACTTGTACGCCGCCCTGAGTCGCCTTTGGGCTGATATGGGCGGGATACAAATATTGTAAATAAATAAAATCACGGTTTCTTGAAACCTCCATCTCTTGAGGATAAGCGGCCTATGGAAAACTATTTCCTACCCCACCTACTTTAAGGTGCTTTCTTCCTTGTCTGTTTTGTTTTTCTGGAGAACACAAACTATTAAATAAATATTAACATAACAACCTTGATCACCCATAAAGATAGGGGTGAAACTATGCGAAACTGGGGCTGAATGCCACCGCCTTTAACCTAGAATTTATTTCCCTTTACTGATGTCTATCTGTCAGAATGCGGAACAAGGGAAAGAGTTACAAATACAATAATAAATGGGAGTCAGCACAACAATCTGGCTGATTGCTGATTATTTATTTATCATGTTTGTGTTTATTGGATTGTTATTTTGTTACTGTGTTTTTATATATATATATATATATATATATATATATATATATATATATATATATATATATATATATTCTCTATGTCATTTTGATGATGTTGCTTGCTGTTTATGTTCTGGTTTTAGCTTGCTGTAACATGTTGTCCAGGCTTGGCCTCATGTAAGCCGCTCCGAGTCCCCATTGGGGAGATGGTGGCGGGGTATCAATAAAGATTATTATTATTACTATTATTATTATTATTATTTCTTTTAAACGGCAGGAGTGTTTTTCTTTGAAGATGAGTGGCACAGAATAAGACTGCTCATGAATTCTCTTTGTCCTTCAGATATCATGATGAATGCCCCCCCGCCTTTATGGTCTGTGCAGCCCGACGGACAATGGGGGTTTCCATATTTTCAAAGCAAATGTACTAAGTGAAGCTCTATTGAATGCATTTTCAGGGAGGTGGAGGCACAAAAAACATCCAACTGAGAGCCCTTTCACACAAACATATAACTCAGAATATCACGGCAGAAAATCCCACAATATCTGCTTTGAACTGGGTTATCTGAGTCTTTGAACTGGGTTATCTGAGTCCACGCTGCCATATATCCCAGTTCAAAGCAGGTAATTCTGGATTTTATTCAACTGTGTGGAAGGAGCCTGACACACTATGAGCTAAGCAGAGAAAACAAGTGTCCTTCCTTACCTGCATTGCGTTCATAGTCCCCAATGAATCGCTTCGTTAGAAATCTCACCACCAGAGCTGGAATGAATAGAGAAGAATGTACGTCAGGGAAGAAAAGGGGGAGAGAGAATCTTATCTGACCACAACTCTGGTTTCCATTCAACCCCCCAAAAGCATAACATCTTAACATTTATGGCAGCGTTTCTCAACCTGGGGGTCGGGACCCCTGGGGGGGGGGTTATGAGGGGGTGTCAGAGGGGTCACCAAAGATGATCAGAAAACACAGTATTTTCTGTTGGTCATGGAGGTTCTGTGTGGGAATTTGACTCAACCCTATTACTGGTGGGGTTCCAAATGCTCTTTGACTGTAGGTGAACTATCAATCCCAGCAACTACAACTCCCAAATGTCAATGTCTATTTTCCCCAAACTCAACCAGTGGTCACATTTGGGCATATTGAGTATTCGTGCCAAGTTTGGTCCAGATCCATCATTGCTTGAGTCTACAGTGCTCTCTGGATGTAGGTGAACTACAACTCCAAAACTCAAGGTCAATGCCCACCAAACCCTTCCAATATTTTCTGTTGGTTTTGGGAGTTCTGTGTGCCAAGTTTGGTTCAATTCCATCCCTGGTGAAGTTCAGAATGCTCTGTGATTGTAGGTGAACTATCAATCCCAGTGACTACAACCCCAAATTGTCAATGTCTATTTTCCCCAAACTCCACCAGTGATCACATTTGGGCATATTGAGTATTCGTGTCAAGTTTGGTCCAGATCCATCATTGCTTGAGTCTACAGTGCTCTCTGGATGTAGTTGAACTACAACTCCAAAACTTAAGGTCAATGCCCACCAAACCCTTCCAATATTTTCTGTTGGTTATGGGAGTTCTGTGTGCCAAGTTTGGTTCAATTCCATCACTGGTGAAGTTCAGAATGCTCTGTGATTGTAGGTCAACAATCAATCCCAGCAACTACAACTCCCAAATGACAAAATCAATCTCTCCCTTTAACCCCACCAGTATTCAAATTTGTGTGTATTGGGTTTTTGTGCCAAATTGGTCAAGTGAATTAAAATACGTCTTGCATATCAGATATTTACATGTGGATTCATAACAGTAGCAAAATTACAGTTATGAAGTAGCAACAAAAATATTTTTATGGTTGAGGGTCACCACAACATGAGGAACTATATTAAAGGGTCAAGGCATTAGGAAGGTTGAGAACCACTGATTTATGGTTTACTACCCAGTGATTCCGGCCATGAAAGCCTTCGACAATCCATCTATTGTGTTCTGCAGGCAATTGTTGCTTATGCGCCCAACCTGACAGCTGGCAGAACAATCCTTACTGTTCCATTTCTCCATCTGACAAGGGACTTGGGAGGAAAATTATCCCTGAATGCTGAAATCCAGGACTGGAGGTGCATTTAGAGTAGAATTCAAGCAGTTTGACACTGTCGTCTAATGCTATGGAATCCCAGGAGTTGTAATTTTGGAAAGTCTTCCATAGAGTGTGGGTGCCTCCCCAAACTACAAATACCAGGATCCCATAAGACTGAGCCATAGCAGTTAAAGTGGTGGGTTGCTCTAAGTTTTTTTCAGGCTGTATGGCCATGTTTTGTTTTGTTTGCCCAGCAAGCGGAGGATAGGTGAGGCAAGCAATATTTACTATGCGTTGTGGAAGGCTTTCATGGCCAGAATCACTGAGTTGCTGAGTTTTCCATGCTGCATGGCCATGTTCCAGAAGCATTCTCTCCTGACGTTTCTCCTGCATCTATGGCAAGCATCCTCAGAGGTTATGAGTTAAAATTGTATCAAACTGCATTAAGTCTATAATGCAGATGCACCCAAAAGTCACCCAAACTGCACTCTTCTGTTCTCTCTTGGCTTTGGGAAGGGATTTACTTGGATCCTTTGGGTCTCTTTTTAGTGAGAGAAAATCGGATATTATTATTATTATTATTATTATTATTATTATTTAATACAGCCAGTGCCCAAGTTATGAACAAGATAGGTTCTATGTATTGTCCAAAGCTTTCCTGACCAGAATCACTGGGCTGTTGTGAGTTTTCAGGGCCGTATCGCCATGTTCCAGTAGCATTCTCTCCTGACGTTTCTCCTGCATCTATGGTAGGCGTCCCCTGAGGTTGTGAGTTAAAGTGGTATCAAAGTGCATTAAGTCTACAGTGTGGATGCACCCAAAAGTCACCCAAACTGCACTCTTCTGCTCTCTCTTGGCTTTGGGAAGGGATTTTCTCCCTACATGAGCCCTTTGGGTCTCTTTTTAGTGAGAGAAAACAGGATATTATTATTATTATTATTATTATTATTATTATTATTAATAATAATAATAATACTACAAGCAGTGCCCAAGTTATGAACAAGATAGGTTCTATGTATTGTCCAAAGCTTTCCTGACCAGAATCACTGAGTTTTCTGGGCTGTATGGCAATGTTCCAGTAGCATTCTCTCCTGATGTTTCTCCTGCATCTATGGTAGGCGTCCCCTGAGGTTGTGAGTTAAAGTGGTATCAAAGTGCATTAAGTCTACAGTGTGGATGCACCCCAAAGTCACCCAAACTGCACTCTTCTGATCTTTGGGTCTCTTTTTAGTGAAAGAAAACAAGATATTATTATTATTATTATTATTATTATTATTTACAGGCAGTGCCCAAGTTATGAACAAGATAGGTTCTATGTGTTGTCGAAGGCTTTCCTGATCAGAATCACTGGTTTGTTGTGAATTTATCGGGCTGCGTGGCCATGTTCTAGAAGCATTCTCTCCTGACGTTTCTCCTGCATCTATGGCAGACCTCCTGAGAGGTTGTGAGGTCTCTTAAATACTAGGAAAAATGGGGTTTATATATCTGTGGAAAGTCCAGGGTGGGAGAAAGAACTCTTGTCTATTGGAGGTAGGTGTGAATGATGCAACTGGCCACCTTGATTAGCAGTTGATAGCCTGACAGTTTTTAGGTGCGGCTTGTTACTGCTTGGGAGAATCCTTTGTTGGGAGGTGATCAGGTGTTCCTGAATATTTCTTTTCTGGAGTTCCCCTGTGTTTGAGTTTTGTTCCTTATTTACAATGATAATTTTGGAGTTTTTTTTAATACTGGTAGCCAGATTTTGTTCATTTTCATGTTTTTCCCCCTTTTTTCTCACCTTTTTGGCCTGGCAGTTTCAAGGTCTGGCTTCTTACTTAAGCCTAGGGGAATCCTTTGTTGGAGAATTTCAACAGAAAGGATGAAACAATGAAAATTAACAAAATCCGGCTACCAGATTGTCTAAAATCGTAACAGTAAATAAGCAACACTCAAAAACCCAGAATTCAAAACAAGAAACCATCAGGGCCAACTAATCACCTTCCGACAAAGGATTCCTAGTTTGGGTTGTTGTAGGTTTTTCCGGGCTATATGGCCATGTTCTGGAGGCAATTTTTCTCCTGACGTTTCGACTGCATCTATGGCAAGCATCCTCAGAGGTATTGTTTTTCCCACAACGTCTGAGGATGCCTGGCATAGATGTGGGCAAAACGTCAGGAGAGAATGCTTCTGGAACCAAAAAAAACTCACAACAACCCAAGACAGGTCCTGTTAAGTTGGCTCTGAAGTTGAATGTGTATGCAAGTCCATCCCTGAGCAAGCAGAAGGAGAAGAAGATGCTCAACGATCAATCTTACCGGTCTTGCCCACTCCACTGGCTCCCACGACGGCGATCTTGATGAGCCGGGGCCGGCCAGACCCGCAGCCCTCTCCGCTGGTGGCGTGGCCAGACTGTGGGTACTCCGAGATGGTCCCCATGTTCTGGATCAGGCGCATCGCAGCTGCTGCAAACCCCAAGGCGGCCCGGGACGGAGAGAGGCGAGCAGGAGCCAGAGCCGCGCCGCCAGAGACTGCCCTCCCGACACCCAGCGCCGCCGGCTCTTGTCTCCAGCTCCCGCCGGCCCCGCCTTCTCCTGCTTCCCGGGAAAAGCTTCGCCCCGCCTCCTCTCCTCCCGCCGGCCAATAGGAGCTCGCCTCCCCACTCCCCCGCCTCTCTCCATCCCCCCGCCTTTGTTGACTGTATTTGCATTGGTCTCTATCCTCTACCTCAAAAGGAATCAGGTCCTGGCTGATTAATGAAGTTGAGCTGGGTCTAGCCCTGGTTAGTCCTTGGATGGGAGATTGCCAGTGCTTACCAGGAGCTGTTAGGCTACTTTTCCAAGGAAGGAAAGAGCAAAAACACCTATGAAATCTATTGGAGTCAGGGACATAATGGAACATTTGTACATTCAAGTCTTAGAATCAGGGTGAAATCAGAGAATCACAGAGTTCTAAGAGACCACATCCAGTCTAACAGTTTAGGCCCCGCCTATCTCCATGATCGCATCTCCTTCTATGATCTTCCGGGGAGGCCCTCCTCTCAGTCTCACTGCCGTCTCAAGCACGGTTGGTGGGGACGAGAGAGAAGGCCTTCTCAGTGGTGGCCCCCCGCCTCTGGAATGCCCTTCTACTGAGAAGGCCCCGCCTATCTCCGTGATCACATCTCCTTCTATGAACCGGCATGAGCTCTAAGATCTTCCGGGGAGGCCCTCCTCTCAGTCTCACTACAGTCTCAAGCACGGTTTGTGGGGACGAGAAAGAAGGCCTTCTCAGTGGTGGCCCCCCCCCCGCCTCTGGAATGCCCTTCCACTGAGAAGGCCCCGCCTATCTCTGTGATCGCATCTCCTTCTATGAACTGGCGCGAGCTCTAAGAAATTCCGGGGAGGCCCTCCTCTCGGTCTCACTACCGTCTCAAGCACGGTTGGTGGGGACGAGAGAGAAGGCCTTCTCAGTGGTGGCCCCCCCGCCTCTGGAATGCCCTTCCACTGAGAAGGCCCCGCCTATCTCTGTGATCGCATCTCCTTCTATGAACTGGCGCGAGCTCTAAGAAATTCCGGGGAGGCCCTCCTCTCGGTCTCACTACCGTCTCAAGCACGGTTGGTGGGGACGAGAAAGAAGGCCTTCTCAGTGGTGGCCCCCCCCCCGCCTCTGGAATGCCCTTCCACTGAGAAGGCCCCGCCTATCTCTGTGATCGCATCTCCTTCTATGAACTGGCGCGAGCTCTAAGAAATTCCGGGGAGGCCCTCCTCTCGGTCTCACTACCGTCTCAAGCACGGTTGGTGGGGACGAGAGAGAAGGCCTTCTCAGTGGTGCCCCCCCCGCCTCTGGAATGCCCTTCCACTGAGAAGGCCCCGCCTATCTCTGTGATCGCATCTCCTTCTATGAACTGGCGCGAGCTCTAAGAAATTCCGGGGAGGCCCTCCTCTCGGTCTCACTACCGTCTCAAGCACGGTTTGGTGGGGACGAGAGAGAAGGCCTTCTCAGTGGTGGCCCCCCCGCCTCTGGAATGCCCTTCCACTGAGAAGGCCCCGCCTATCTCTGTGATCGCATCTCCTTCTATGAACTGGCGCGAGCTCTAAGAAATTCCGGGGAGGCCCTCCTCTCGGTCTCACTACCGTCTCAAGCACGGTTGGTGGGGACGAGAGAGAAGGCCTTCTCAGTGGTGCCCCCCCCCCCCGCCTCTGGAATGCCTTTCCACGAAGGCCCTGCCTATCTCCGTGATCGCATCTCCTTCTATGAACCGGCGTGAGCTCTAAGATCTTCCAGGGAAGCCCTCCTCTCGGTCTCACTACCGTCTCAAGCACGGTTTGTGGGGACGAGAGAGAAGGCCTTCTCAGTGGTGCCCCCCCACCTCTGGAACAGGCCCCCTCCCTCCCCTCCTTTCGTAAGAGCTTGAAGACCTGGTGGTTTCAACAAGCCTTTGAAAATGGCCAGTTCTAACTCAGCCCTACACATTGTCGAATACGGCCTTATTCTTCCTACCAATTACCCAGATCATTTCCTCTAGTCGGCCCTGGAATGAACAGCCACAGACCCATACCTAATATTATTGTTGCCTGCCATAGCATTGCATTTAATTCCCGGGCCCCCTAGAATTTTTGGGCTTGCACAAATCTTGGCCCGGCCTTTTAATTTTTTTTAATTGCTTTGAACAGGCATCCAACTCCCTTCATCAGTGCAAGAAACCATAATTATGGCAACAATTTTTATGCATATTTTCCCCAAACTCCATCTGTGTTCATACTTGGATGTTGAGTGCTTGTGCCAAGTTTGGTCCAGATCCATCATTTTTTGAGTCCATAGTGCTCTCTGGATGTAGGTGAACTACAACTCCCAAACTCAAGGTCAATGCCCACCAAACCCTTCCAGTATTTTCTGTTGGTCATGGGAGTTCTGTGTGCCAAGTTTGGTTCAATTCCATCATTGGTGGAGTTCAGAATGCCCTTTGATTGTAGGTGAACTATAAATCCCAGCAACTACAACTCCCAAATGACAAATCATAATTTTTGAGTGATGGTCACTCCTTGTGTTGTGAGACTTTTGTTGCCAAATTTGGTGTGATTTCGTTCATTGATTCTTTTGTTTTTAAGGTACTCATTATGCACAGAGCATTTATATATATATAGATGCTATAATAAAACACAGGGAAAGTTTATTAAACTGCAAAACGTTGTTTTTGCAGGACACCCTGCAGCACATTTTGCTATAGTTTTTCAATGAATATCTTCTAGAGTCTCAACCAAATCAACATAGTGAGTGGCAGTTGCAAAAATGAAGTTTACGGAGTATAACAACTACTTTCAAAGTAAGTACTGCACAGTTAAATGGGAAATAACACTTTCAAACCAGGAACAGAAAAATCTTTCAAATTTTGTAATGTTCGTTTCATTGTTTAGATTCTATGGGGGCTGAGTGGCTTTCTGTAACGTATTAGCCAACAACATGTGCTGGGAGGCTCACTGTAACTAATTCAAATTTTGTTACATAGTGCAATTGGACTTGAGTATCCATGGATTTTGATATCTATGGAGTCCTGGAAACAAATCCCAGCAGATACCAAGGACCCAGTATAATAACAGTGTCCATTTGCACGTCCAGTGGAAGTGGTCACATACAACTTGTAAAAACAAGCATGAGGCATGTTGTTCTTATTGTTGCTGTTGTGAACCTTCAAATCATTTCTGACTTGTGGGAAGCCTAAGGCAAACTTATCATCAGGTTCTCTTGGCAAGATTTGTTCAAAGGGGATTTGCCATTGCCATCCTCTGAGACTGAGAGAATATGACTTGCCTAAAGTCATCCAGTGGAATTCCATGGTCAAGTGAGAACTTTCTCGTAGGATGAGCACAACTCATCTGGCTCAGTTCCAGTCCTGCATACATTTGCTCAGAAGACAAATACCATTAAATGAGATTTGCATCCAAGATTGCACTCTGCATCATTTGGATCTGTTTTGTTGCTGGGGAGGAAGCTGCGGCAAAGCAACACCAAACAAACAGGTGTCACCGGGAGAGGAGCATGATTTATTATGGCAAAAACTCAAGCATTTCTAGGCACCATTTACAAAACCAAATCATTGATGCGCATGACTACTTATAACAGCTTCCATGAGTTGTGGTCAGATTATCTACTCTACCGAAACTAGGGCCCCTTCCCCACTGTCTAAAATCCCACATTATCTGCTTTGAACTGGGTTATATGACAGTATGGACTCAGATAACCCAGTTCAAAGCAGATATTATGGGTTATTCTGCCTTGATATTCTGGATTATATGGTTGTCTGGAAGGGCCTTAGTAGGACAATGCCACTGTACTACAAACAGGAGCACAACAGCACAGCATCAGGAAGGGTGGTTCTTCTTCAAAACAGGGCACTTGCTCCAAGTGTGCCTTGCTTACAAAATAGTAAGCAAGGGGATTGAATGAAAAGTAATGCCTCCACCTTCGTAACTCCTCAACATATGGCAGTACTGATATGCGGCAGGTACTGGCTTGTTCAGTAGACTCTCCTCTACAGTTCCATTTTGGCAGGAAGCCTTAGCATTGAACGGTTGTGTTGTTAAAGTGTGAAATATGGAACCCTGCGCAGACGGTCGGTCAATTATTATTATTATTATCATCAATGCAACTTAAGCAATGGGCAGTCATTGAATTCTTGACAGCAGAAGATGTAACCTCAAAGGAGATTCATCAGAGAATGCAAGCTGTTTATGGTGATTGTGTTGATGTGAGTACCATGCGTTGTTGAGTGAGTAAGTTTAAAGATGTTGAGGGGAATAATCTGACTTGCGTGACAAACAAAAACTTGGAAGTCCTGTGACAGCAACCACCGAGTTTCACAAGCAAAAGCTCGAGAGACTGATTCAGGACAATCGCCGTATCACTCAGAGAGAAATTTCAAGCATAATCGGTATTTCACAAGAATGTGTTGATCACATTATTGCTTTGCTTGGCTATTGGAAAATCTGTGCATGATGGGTTGCGGAAACAGAGTGTCGACTTCTTCCATGACGGCTTCAGAAAACTTATTCATCATTGGCAGAAATGTATCCAATTATGTGGAAAAGTGAATAGTGGTAGTTAAGGAGCACATTCTAAGGATTATTTCTGCATTTGATTTATCAAAATATTCCCATCTAAACCCAAGTAACGAAGGTGGAGGCATTACTTTTCATTCAAAAGTATCAATGCAGTGATGATGTTGGTAGTTCAGACACAAAGAAAGTCTTCCTTGTGGCCTATCTCTAGCCTATAAAGGATCACAAAACTCTTTGGCCCCTTTTACACTAGCACATAATCCAGTTCAAAGCAGATAATCTGAATTTTCTGTAGCAGTACAGAAGGGGCCTGAGAGCAGAGGCGGCACTAGGTAATTTTCAATGGTAAGCAAACAGTATTTTGGCACCCCCCCCCCAACCAATCATTGATATATATTTTCTGTTCGTCGTGGGAGTACTGTGTGCCATATTTGGTTCAGTTCCATCATTGGTGAAGTTCAGAATGCTCTTTGATTTTAGGTGAACTATACATCCCAGTAACTACAACTCACATATGTCAAGGCCTATTTTCCCCCAAG